GGCTGGTCGATCAGGGCCTTGACCTTGGACACCGCCACGGCAGCCGCGGCGACGAGCACCACCGTGCCGCCGCCCAGGGCGAGCAGCCGGTGGCTGTCCCACAGCGCGACGGTGATCAGCACCAGCAGCATCAGCAGGCCGAAGCCCGCCAGCAGTGCGGCGAGCACGGCCCACAGCAGCAGGCTGGCGATGCGATCCTTCTCCTCCTGCGCCTCGATGGCGAACAACTCCAGGCGGATGCGCCCGAGCGTCAGCAGCGAGGCGCTGAGCCGCCGCAGCGGCGCGGAGACGGGTTCGGTGTCCTCGCTCAAGACGGACCTGCGATCAGCGGCGGCCGATCAGCACGCCGAGCGCCAGACCCACGGCTGCGGCGACGCCGATGGCCTGCCAGGGCTTGGCATGCACGTAGTCGTCGGTGGCGGTGGCGGCGTCCTTGGCGCGCTGGATGGCCTCGTGCTGGGCGTCCAGCAGCTTTTCCTTGGCGCCGGACAAGCGGTCCTGGATGCGCGCGCGCAGGGCCTTGACCTCGGTGTCGGCCTTGTTGGTGGTGGCCGTCATCAGCGCGTCGATGTCATCCATCACGGCACGGAAATCGGAGGCCAGCTTTTCCTTGGCTTGGGTGGTGTCACTCATCTCACGCTCCTCGGTCGGTGTCATACACGGCTGAAGCCTAACGCGATTGCACGCGAGCCATATGACGGCCCTCAAATGACGCGGGCTTGTCCTACACGGCCGCCGCCGCCTCGCGAAGCCGTCGGGCGTAGGCTTCCCGAAGCGCCGGTGGCCCGACGACCTCGACCTGGCCGGCATGGCGCAGCAGGTCCATCAAGCAGCTCGGTGTCGTCCACATACGGCAGCTGCAGTCGCCAGCGGCCGTCGGGCAGAAACTCGCTCTTCTGCGCCGGATGCCACTCCTCGCGCGACACCCAGGCGGCCGCCTCGGGGCTGAACAGCAGTTCCGCCTCGCGCGGCGTGCCACCGGCGAAGATGCCGTAGCCGCTGGTCCAGCTCGGCTTCCAGCTCGGCCAGGGGCACGGCCTTGGCGTCGGTCTCCAGCAGCGCGGCAGATTCGATGCCGTCCAGCGCGAAGCGACGGTAGCCGTTGCTGGCGTGGCACCAGGCGTCGAGGTACCAGGCGTGGCGATGGTGCACCAGGCGCTGAGGCGACACCTCGCGCTCGCTGCTGGCACCGTCGCGCTTCTTGCGGTAGCGGATGGTCAGCCGCTTGCGCTTCACGACGGCGCTGCCCACGGTCTCGAAGCTGTCGCTGGCAATGCGCCGCCGCGCCGGTGCCGATGAGCTTGACGCGCCGGCGCAGCTCCTGCGCCTCGCCCTGCTCCACACCCAGCATGCCGGTGATCTTGTCGAACATCGGCTGCAGATGGCGGTCCCACCACGCCCTGCTCGTCCAGGCCGGCCAGCATCTGCTGCATCGTCAAGCAGCGCATGCAGCTCCGCCTCGTTGAACCACACGCCCGGCAGCTCGTGCTTGCCGCCGCGCCACTGCTGGCCGAAGCGGTAGCCGTTGTCGGCGGCGTCGTACTCGATCGGTGCGTCCAGCCGCTCGCGCAGGTAGGCCAGGTCGCGCTTGAGCGTGGCAGGCGACACCTCCAGCGCCTCCAGCAGCGTGGCGAACGACACGCAGCCCCGGGAGCGGATGAGGTGCTCGATCTTGTAGAAGCGCTCGGTGCGGTCCATGCTGAATAAATCCACAGTGGTTTTGGGGTGGATCATCTCATGAGCGACCTGGCTCACAGACTGCCCGCAAGGCCCGCGACTTCATCGGCGTGCCTAGCAACCAGGAGCACGACATGCAAGCAGTCCTCACCCGCCCGACCGCCGCCCCGCAATCCGCTCTCGTCCAGTTCGCGCTGGACATGGACGACACGCCCGCCGCGGCCCGCGAGGCCAGCGCCCACGAGCGC